GGTAATTACAGGACATGGACCTGTACTCACCTGGTAATTACAGGACATGGACCTGTACTCACCTGGTAATTACAGGACATGGACCTGTACTCACCTGGTAATTACAGGACATGGACCTGTATTCACTTGGTAATTACAGGACATGTACCTGTACTCACCTGGTAATTACAGGGCATGTACCTGTACTCACCTGGTAATTACAGGGCATGTACCTGTACTCACCTGGTAATTACAGGGCATGTACCTGTACTCACCTGGTAATTACAGGGCATGTACCTGGTACTCACCTGGTAATTACAGGGCATGTACCTGGTACTCACCTGGTAATTACAGGGCATGTACCTGGTACTCACCTGGTAATTACAGGACATGGACCTGTACTCACCTGTGAATTACAGGGTTTAACTTCACCTCTTCTCAGTACACGATGATTTTATTTAAACCCTTGGAAGCGGCGGGCGACATGCATTCCCTCCAGTAAGAGCAGGTCTTTATTTATTTAAACTTTTAGTTTCTTTTTGTTTTGAGTTTGTGATGTCCTCCAGAGCTACGAGTGGTTTTGACCCGTCTCTCTGCAAACAGGAAACCTGATGTTTTGGAGCACTAATAAAAACACAAACAGTATAAAACCAATATTACACAATAAATAATTTAGTTTGTTTGTTGGGTTTGTGCTGCTCAGCAGTCGGCTCTGCTTCTTTATTTGTGTTGTAAATCTTTACTTGTTGTTGTTTACGTCAGCCGTCATGTGGGTCACATTAACTGAGTCAGCCGAGCCGCTGCGTGATGTTGATTTTTAAACAAGACCTGATCCAGTTCCTGATCCAGTTCTACGTTAGACTTGACTAATCCAGGCCACTGATTGGCTCTTCATTAGACTCTGTCACACTATGAGACCAGACTGCCATGAGAGCAGAGYACTGCTCAGGATAGTTCTGGACTTGTTGCTGCAGTTATTTAACTCCTGCCCTCATCCTGATCTGATGTTTGTTCAGCTGCTTTGGTTTCATAGAAAATCTGCAGCTAAGAAAAACAATATCTTCGATTTTTTTATTTATTTATTTTTTAAACGTTCACTTTCTTGACGCTTCGGGTCTCGTCTTGCTGGAGACTAAATCTCCCACGCTGCATCATTGTAGTCTTGGTCCTACAGATCTTTCTGTGCTAACAGTTTAATTCAAGAACTAAACTCATGCAGCAGCTAAACAGCTGTTAGCACATTAGCTTACCTTTCATATCAACATGTTCGACTCTTTTTTTTTTCTCTCAAACACCACAAAATCTTCTGCCTCCTTGACTGTCGTGTCATGCTCACTGTAGCTGTTTACTTTTATCCATTTTGTCTCTGCTCCTAAAGCTATGCTTTGATCAGTGTACATGACTCGTCCCGCGGTTATCACTGACCAGTCATAAACGATTAGACTGGTTCCAGATTGTTCCTGACTGAAGCTGACTGTATTGAATTGCAAAAAAATTCATTGCAAGAAAATCAGATATTTTACCCATACCCTGTGTCTGTTTCCTTTTAAAATTAGCATTCATGCTAATCGTATTTTACCTTTTTTTTTTTTCCAGTTCTCTGCAAATTTGCTCATCCTCCTCGTTTTTGTCTAGATCCTCATCATCTTCCTCCACATCTGGAGGATTCACGACATTTCTCTGAAAAACATTGCCGCCATTTTCCCAAACGTTTCACAATGAAATTAAGGTTTTAGCTTTTTTGATACGAAGCCAACCCGTCAAAATAAAAGCATTTAGTGTGATGACATATAGGGATGTCCCGATCCAGATTTTTTGGCTCCCAATACAATCTGATTTTTTTTTAATGATTAGTCTTTCCGATACAATCCGATAGCTTTATTTCTTTATGTTTCCAAGTAACAAGGTTGGTAGTATTAAAGCGAGCCGTGCTGTTCCACCACCAGAAACATCCAGTTTGCAGATTTTGCAAGATTCAGTTTCAGCTTCATTGGGCCTCATGCAAGAACCGTTCGTACGCACAGATTTGTTCTCAAGTTGTGCGTACGAGTGATTTAGGAGAATTTGTG